GGAAGAAGTGGAGAAGCTAAGATCATTTTTCAGCTATTTAGGTAAGACTATTCTTCATTTGGATTTAATGTCTTAGATTTACCCTGAAAATACTCTTGGATCATGGATTCGGGAGCCACTGACCACATGACCCACTCTTCCAAATATTTTTCCTCATACCATGTCCTAGTAACAAAATTGCCAAAACAGATGGATCTCTAACAACCACAGCTGGAAGAGGAGATATCTAAATCAGCCCATCGATAACCTTAAAAAATGTTCTCCATGTTCCAAAATTATCCACTAATTTGGTCTCTATACAGAAACCCATACAAGATTTGCTTTGTAAGGTGGTATTTCATGACGAATATTGTGAATTTCAGGAAAAGGATTCGGGGAGGATGATTGGACTTGCTAAGGAAAAAGATGGCCTTTATTATCTTGAGATGCTGGCCAAAACTAGATTGTCTCACTCTCTCATATCAGAATCCACTCTATCCAGTAAAGAAAAAATTCTACTTCATCATTGTCGTTTAGGTCATCCCTTGTTTAGGACCGTCAAAATTCTTTTTCCTTCGTTATTTTGAGGTATATGAGCTTGCTAAACATAAGTGGATCCCTTTCCCAGTTAGTAATAAAAGAAGCACTTCTCCCTTTTATCTTATTCATATTGATATTTGGGGTCCATCTAATGTTTCTAATATTTCTGGTACACAGATTACTTGGGTATTCTTACTCGAGCATAGATCTGATGTCAGCTTTGTTCTCCCAGCTTCCTTTTGATGATAAAAAAAAAACCATTTTTGGGGTGAATATTAAAAGGTTAAAATTTGATAATGCCCGAGATCATTTCAATCAAACCCTCACTTCTTACCGTCAAAAAGAGGGAATAATACATGAGTCTTCATGTGTTAAAACACCTCAACAAAACGGGGTTGCAGAAAGAAAAAATGGGCATTTATTATAACAAACCAGAGTGTTATTATTTCAAAGAAACGTGCCAAAAATTTCTGGGGGGAAGTCGTTCTCACAGCCACTTACCTGATCAAAAGACCTCCTACATGAGTTCTAGAATTCAAAAGCTCAATGGAGGTGTTGTCCTCTTTTTACCCTAACATATCCATCTCCAACAACCTTGTTCCTCGTATCTTTGGGTGTGTCTAATTTGTTCATATCCATAGCCAAGAAAGAGGCAAACTTGACCCTCGGGCTCTAAAGTGTCTTTACGGGATATTCCTCAACCCAGAAATGATATAAATGCTACTATTCTCCATCCAAGAAGTTCTTTGTGTCAAGAGATGTGACATTTAGTGAAAAAGATGCCTATTTCACCCAACCTTATCTTCAGGGGGAAAATTATACGGAAGATAACCGGAAGCTTAGAGAACTTTCTTCTTGATTTGTCTGCTTTGTCTACTCATATACCAGAACCAACCCTTGATTCTACTCATATTCCAGAACCGGTCACCCATATTTCTGAACCGGTCACCCATGTTTCTAATCCTACCCGCAATCCTGATCTTACTTTCAATTCTGATCATATTCACAGTTCACAAGTTCCAGAATCAGTGACATCCAATCCAGTCCTTGAATCCACCCCTAACACACACATCCCTGAACCTGAAAACATATGGTTCAGAAAGAACTTGGTGTACTCAACACAAAAAAGGAACATTCCTGAATCTGAGCAAGTTCAAGAATCCAACATGGGTCCTTTAAATGAGGTAACAATTTCTGACTCTCCACCCGTTACAAAATGAAATTGAATTTCTGGTAGTTGAACAAGATCTCCTGAATGCCTTCAAAAAGGGAACGAGAGAATGCACAAAGAGACCATTATACCCATTGTCACACTACTTATTCTTCCAAACATTCTCTCCTACCTACAAAGCCTTCCTTGTTAACCTTAACTCCATCACCATCCCCACTACCCTATCTGAGGCATTATCCAATGAAAATTGGAAGCAAGCCATGAATGTTAAAATGCACGCACTCGAAAAGAACAAAACTTAGGATTAGGTAAAAGCAAGGTTGGTGCCCAAGGGATATACACAAACTTTTGGCATCGATTATTTGGAAACATTTGCATTGGTTGCAGAGATGAATACAGTTAGAGTAATTATGTCCCTAGTTGCTAACCTTGGTTGGGAATTACATCAGTTTGATGTCAAAAACACATTTCTGCATGGAGAACTTGAGGAGGAGATTTGCATGGAAGTCCTGCCTCATTATGAAAGAAGGATGGGTACCAATACAGTGTGTAAATTAAAGAAGGCATTATACGGTTTGAAACAATCTCCTCGGGCATGGTTTGGAAGATTCTCCAAAACTATGGTTCCCCTAGGATACATTCAAAGTCAAGGGGACCACACTTTATTTATCAAACACTAGAAGTACAGGAGAATAACAGTCCTTCTAGTGTATGTGGACGATATCATTGTGACGGGTAATGACGAAAAAAAGCAACAAGCCTCGAGTCAATGTCTAGCCAAAGAATTTGAGAATCAAGACGTTGGGAAAACTGAAGTAGTTCCTTGGAATTGGAGTTGCTCATTCCAGAAAGGGGATTTCTATATCTCAACAAAAGTATGTTACTGATTTGCTCATAGAAACAGGACAAGGTGCAAAGAAACCAGCAAATACTCCAACAAACCCGAGCCATAAATTGGGAAACACAGAAGAAGATGGCATGGTGAACAAAAAAATGTATCATCGTCTTGTAGGGCTACTCATATACTTGTCTCATGCCAAACCAGATATAGCATATGTTGTAAGCATGATCAGTTAGTTCATGCATAATCCAAAGGAGTCTCACTTGCAAGTTGCACATAGGATTTTACAGTACCTCAAAGGAACACCAGGAAAAGAAATTTTATTCGAAAGAAACAATAGTGTGACCCTTGAAGTATATATTGATGCAAGTTATGCTGCATCACCGGTTGATTGTAGATCAACAACAGGGTACTGTGCCTTTCTTGGAGGAAACCTTGCAATGTGGAGAAGCAAGAAACAAAGTGTTGTAGCACGGTCTAGTGCAGAAGCAGAATTCCGAGCAATGGCACACAGTTTATATGAACTATTATGGTTGAAAATCATCCTAAAGAATTTGACGATTAACTGGAAGGGCCAATGAAACTCTATCGCGACAATAAGTCAGCAATAAGCATCGCTCACAACCCTATTCAGCATGATCGGACTAAGCATATCGAAGTTGACAAACATTTCATCAAAGAGAAGCTAGATAGTGGCCTAATATGCACCCCATTTGTGCCAACTCATGAGCAACTCGCAAACATTTTCACTAAAGGGCTAAGTAGACCAATATTTGAGAAGATTACATCCAAGCTAGGAATGGGAAATTCCCACTCGACGGCTTGAGGGGGAGTGTGAGAAAATGGAAATGATTATGTATTCAATAAGGATCGTGTATAATCCCATAAAATCAGGGATCGTGTACAATCCCATAAAATCAGGGATTTCATAGGATAGTTTCCTTTTATTATAGCTCAGCCTCTTGAATATATTTTGTATGATTTCTTTCGATAATCAATACACTGGAAATCCCAAATTTGTTATATATATATATATATATATATATATAATGTGTAAAGTCTCCCACTTTGAAGAATTAGGTGAGTACATATATATACATATACTATATCTCATTACTGATTTGCTTATCCAAACTCTCTCACAACCCACTTTTCATATTCTTTTGGCTTACTTATCAAACTCTCTCTGACAACCTACTTCCTACATTTCTTTGTTCATAGTGGTGGCAGACCAGTAGTGTATATATATGCATATATATACACACAAATATATATATAGTCTAAAGGTAGTGGTAGTGGCAGTATATATATATATATATATATATATATATATATATATATATATTTCAGTGGTAGTGGTAGTGGTAGTGGTAGTGGCAGTGACAGAACACGATAAATATGTATGTTGTGTATATATAGTGTCTAGTGATAATAATTTGGTGTATATATATTATTTTGAATCTTATATATTTTCTGCCTCGAGGATTACGCCTCGCCTCATGTTTCCGTACTTTAAAACCTTAGAACACGGCATTCAAATTCCACACTAAATCGGGCCACTGTCGGCTGGTTCTTAGAACACCAAGAGAGAAGATTGAAACCAAGGTATACTACATAACCAGTAGTGGAGCAATAAGTGATATGCCAACCAGCCCAATCAACATCAGACTATCAGAGTAGGTTGATAAGCACACTTTTTGACGATAAGAAGTGAATATTAAACCTGACCTAGAGTACCTTTAATGTAGCGGAGGATGCGCTTGACAGCACCAAGATGATGGTCCTGAGGTTGATTCATAAAATTTGACACACAATGAACCACAAAGGAAATGCCAGGGCATGTACTCTAAGATATTGTAGGGACCCAACAACTTCAGGATGGAACGTAGGATTAGTAAGAACACCATTTGTAGAGTGAAGGTCAGCTTTGGCATTCCATCAAATTATACACCATTCTTGCCCTTACATTATTAGCCTAAATAATGGTAAACTTCAAAATCTAATTACCATACCACTTTGTTGTAGTAGATAGTACAACTATCAATAGCTCCAACTAGGGATCATTTATGCATGTAGCACCCAAGAATACAAACTTACATAGTACACATGGGTAATCTCATCTAATTGCTTAAGCAAGTCAAATACATGAATAAACACATCCTAGATATGTTTTGATTAAACTTGCATACACAAAAACATTAAATTTGTGTATCAATATATATATATGCACAAATACATAATACCTATATCCATACATACATACAAATCTGTCCGACAAGGCCTTTATCATTTGATCCAATAGTGTTCTGTTAGATAGGAACAGATTTGGTAAATACTGATAACTCTGATGGTATAAGGACGTATATGTATGTATATGCATGCATGTAATGTATTTTCATATTGCGTGTCTATACTTGTGAAAATAAGTTGCTACTAAAGAGAGAGTGCAAGTAGAGAAAAAATACTCACAGCTAGGTTTTTCAACTCCAAGCTAAGATTTTTCCTCATACTGCTAGATACCACAGCACCAAGCTGTTCCCCATGCTTCTTAATATTTTCCTCTTTGATCTGCATATTTAAGATGTCAAGCTTAAGCCCAAAACAGAATTTATATCAAGAACTGATAGTACATCCAACTCACCTCTGAAAGAACGATGGCTGATGCTTTCTCTAATATTTCTTCAATAAGCTTTTCAGGATCCGCAAAAGAGCTTGAAGATTTTGCGGTATTGGCCAATTTCTCCTTCCGTGGACCACTGGAAAGCTCTGATGCTTTGGCTAACATCAGTGAGAGAAGCTACAGGTCAGAAAAAACCAAAATTTCCTATTGTATCAACTGCGTTAGTATAGAACAAGAAGCATCATTTTTTAACTGCACTTGGTACATCAAAAGACTATATGATTGGTAAGTGCAGTCTTGGCAATAGATCAGGATTTTTATTATTCCACTCTCAACCTTTAAGGGCATTTAATTGCCTCAGCAGAAAGAGAGCATGATTTCCTTGTATTAAATTTTACAACAACACAAGATAATAGTTCAGAGAAAGAAATATATAATCCTTGGGCTTGTTGGGTTACAAAGAAAATCACTTACTCAATTTTTCTATTTAACTTGCTTCACATTCATAAAAGTTCACTAGAATTTGGTTCATTACATCAAATAACCATACTCTAACAAAATTTAATTCAAGGAAAACACCCATGTCTCATCATTCCCCACAATGCCCATGATTCCACCAACCTCCCTCTCTTATCAACTCTATCACGTAATCCTTTGTCAAGAGGTTATTGTCGATAGCTAAAACACCTGTGCAGCTTTAGTACTTCAATGCTGAAAATGATCAAGGAACTTGGATAGAGCAATAAACACAAGATTTCTGAAAGGATTTGTAGAGTGTTCGTAAAGAGGCCTGCTTATTGCTTAAAAGTTTCTTGGACTAATTACAAATGAGGAAGGTACCACCTATTTAAAGGCATCTTTACCTCAAAGAACATCCTTGAACAAGAACTCCTAGATGCAAGATAATTCTAGGGGATTTCTAGGTTCTTCAACAAAGATATTTAAGACTCCATCTGATGTTGAGAGCGTTGTAGAGCAACATAAAAGATACTAGAGAATCCTAGATTATTACAGAGAACTCCAGTATTTCCTAAAGAATTTATATCGCCTTGCTGGTTGGGTGATTGTTGGTGGTCAAACATGTAATTTTGTACCTCAATTTGAAGGCGTGCATGGTTTGACACAAACGAGTAAACAGGCCAAACCAGAGCATTGCATTTTGGCTGGTTTGGCCAGTTTGTAAACTCTTTATTCGGTCAGCTGGTCCAATTTCTGAAACCAAAAGATTTGGTCTGGCCACCTGTTCTGTATAAAAAACTAACCATTGACAAGGGGATTCAAAAAAAAGGGCTCATTTCACTCTCTTTAAATAAGACCGGGAGTCACTCGCTTCCTCAAGCACGGGAAAGAGAGAAGATCTCTTATTTATGCCCACTCTTCCAAATTGAATTTCCCTTCTTCCAAGAGCTAAATCGATGGCACTTGGGATCCTTCCCTAAACTAAAGAATTTACTTACTATATTGAAATTACCAATAGATGGTGGTATGTAGTCTAAGGCATCAAATCCCTTGTCCTCCGCTTTTCTTCAAAGCAGAGGCAGACCTATTAAGGGTTGAGCAGGGTCCCGTGCACTTGCTCACTCGATTATCTCAAGAGAATAAATTGAGACATGTTAAGAGTGTGCGCTTAAATATTTTGAAACCACCCTAATACGCATCCTAGAACAAGAACTCTTTGGCCAAATAATTTTAGTGGCTTTCTACGTTCTACCCAAAACATCCAAGATTTCATCCAATATCAAGAATGCTTTAGAGGAACCTACAAGATACAAGAGAATCCTAAATTATCATGAAGAACTCATATTTCCTAGAGAATTCATGTTGCCTTGGTGGATGCTTTGCTGGTGCCATGCGTCTATGGGACACTAAGGCTTCAATCTCAAGAGAAACATGCATCCCATGACACCTAGCCAACTTGGTATTCACAACCCAAATTGTGAGACTCTAGGTAACACCATCTCGGAAGTTGTTCAGGCCCTAATAATTTCCTCAAATTATGGTTAATTTGCAGTTCAGCAATACCAAAAGTCTAAATCAGTGGTTGTGACAAAAACCTTTTCTCTAGGAGGCACGGAAATGTTGCTTTCTCTGAGAGAACTGGCTCACATTCAAATACTCATATTAGTGTACTTGTTTTCGGGCATCTCATGGGAGATCCCAATTAGAACACTATCATCTTTCCCATGAATAATCATTCAAGGCCAGAATCGATACAAACAAAGTATAAGAATCCAATGAAAGAAAAGATGTATATTCCAACTTGAATACAACGTACATATTTATACACAAGCAAAACTATAACGACTCCTATAAATCAGCCTCTAAAATATAACAGAAATCTATCTAATAAATAGAGAATCAATAATTCTGTAATTGATCCCTAAGAATCAGCACAAAGATTATGTGATATATCTAGCTTGATTTTCTACAAATATACCAACACCCAACCCTCAAGTTGGCGTGTATGTATCAATCATGCCAAGCTTGCAAGTAAGATCTTCGAATAATGTCCTTGTAAGGCCTTCTGTCAGTATGTCGGCTGCTTGCTGTGTTGTGGGTAAGTAAATCATGCACACTCTTCCAGAGTCAAGTTTTTCTTTGATGAAATGTCGATCTACTTCCATGTGCTTAGTTCGGTCATGGTGAACGAGATTGTGAGCTATGCTTATTGTTGCTTTATCATGGCAATACAACTTCATAGGGAATTTGAACGGTACACGTAGCTCCTCCATTAGTCGTTGCAGCCATATTCCTTCGCATATACCATGTGCCACTGCTCTGAACTCTGAGTCAGCAGTGCTTCGAGACACAACAGATTGTTTTTTACTTCTCCAAGTCACAAGATTCCCCCATACAAATACTTTATAGGTTGTTGTCATGTGTCTCTCCTTTGGGGAGTGCATAAATTGGTTGATAACACTCACACGCAAAAGTGATATAGGGCCTGGTGTGAGAGAAAGAGAGAGAGAGAGAGAGAGATGAGTTTTCCTACCAGTCTTTGATATCTCTCTTTGTCAACCTCTAGGCTATCTTCATCAACTCCCAGTTTCTTGGGCTCCATTGGGCTGCTAGCAGTTTTACATCCCATCTTTCCTATCTTTGCTAGTAAATCAAGAACATACTTCCTTTGTGAAATGAGTGGTCCAAGGTCTTCCATTTTGAACTCCGAGTTTAAGTAGGTTTTTAGTTGGTTGATTTCTTCCAAGTCATCTCCTGTTATGATTATGTCATCAATGTATACGATAAGAATTGAGATCTTACCATTTTCTAAGTGCTTGAAGAACACAATGTGATCTACGTGTCATTGATTGTATCCTCTACTTGTTACCGCCTGAGTGAATCGAGTAAACCATTCCCTCGGTGATTGTTTTAGCCCGTAAAGAGATTTCTTTAGTCTTCTCACTTTCCCTTCGAGGTTTTCAAAACCAGGGGAAAATCCATATAAACTTCCTCATTGAGTTCATCATTTAGGAACATATTTTAACGTTAGAGGCCAATCAAGGTTAGCTGCCAAGGAGAGTAAAACTCCAACGCAAAAGTCTCTTGATAGTCAATGCCAAACGTTTGAGTGTAGCCCTTAGCTACAAGTCTTGGCTTGTACCTATTTATGCTACCATCACTGTCGTATTTGATGGTGAACAACCATTTGCATCCCACAGTCTTCTTCCCTGTTGGAAGGTCACTTAGTTCCCATGTTCCATTATTTTTCAAGGCTGTTAGTTCTTCCAAGACTGAACTCTTCCATTTTGAGGATTGAAGGGCGTCGTTTATGTTTTTTGGAGTTTCAACTTGATCCAAATGAGTGACGAGTGCTCTGTGTGTAGTAGACAACTTCTCATAGGACACAAAGTTGGAAATGGGGTGCTTTGTACATATGATTGGACTCCCTTTCGAAAGGCAATTGGGAGATTTTCATGACCTGTGGTGTCCGAGACGAGATAGCAACTGATGGTTGTTCATCTTCATAACAGTTTCAGGAACAATTTCTTGGCAATCCAAAGTTGTTGATTTACCCATTCTAATAAAGCGATATCTCCTCGAATAAACAAGCAAATCAGGTTCATCAGATTCCGGGACATGTGTGGTGTTCGGTGGTGGTTCTAGGAACGAATTTTTTGGGATGGGAACTATTAGAGTATTGTGTTGGATTTCCCGATTTTCAGCACCTTCAAGGTCGAGGAGACCATTTAAGGACTCATCTTCATTTAGAGTCTCCCCCTGAAGATGAGGCTTGGGAAAATGGAGCTCATATTCGAACGGTAACATGCAGTGAGAACAACTCACCACATTGATATATTGGAATATGCATGGTGAACATTAGGGCATGTGTTGTGGTTAGTAAGTGTCGATTCTTTCGTTCGGAGACACCATTTTGTTAGGGTGTGTCCAGACATGAGCTTTGGTGAATAATGCCATAATCAGAGAGGTAGGTTCCTAGAGTGGAGTTAAAGTAACTGATTTAGAATCATGGTGTGAAAGGTTTGGAAGATTTTCGGGGCTTCTGATTTGTCTTTATCTTTAAGGAGATAAACCCAACATAGGTGTGTATGGTCATTGATGAATGTGATAAACCATTTTGATCCAGAAACTTTTTTTATACGGTTGGGTCCAAATATCGCTGTGAATTAACGAAAACGGTTTATAGGTAGCATAAGGTTATAGAGAATAGGGAACACGAGTATGTTTCGATAACTGGCAAATTTCACACATAAAAGAACCAACATCTTGATTTCGAAATAGTTGCAGAAACAAATGTCTACTGAAAGTTTGGGTGTCTAGTCTATGATGCGACATCAAGATGGTGTCTTTATTGGAAGGTGAAACTGCAGAGCTTGAATATGCTTATTTATTCTCGGATTCATTGCTTTCCCAGATATAGAATCCATCTTCAACTTTAGCACTGGCAATCGTCCGGCACATGACAATTAGTAGAAGAGAATAGAGCCAGGTATTGGTTATCTTGAGTGAGCTCGTGAATTGATAGGAGATTACAAGACAACTTTGGAACATGAAGAACTTTAGTGAGTGTGATTTAATCTGTGAGGTGAACCGAGCCCATGCCCGCAACTGGGGAGAAGTCATCGTCTATCCTTACCCTGGATTGGTTGTGGCAGGGACTATAAGTGTGAAATAGAGAGGAGTTGTCGATCATGTGATCAGAGGCCCCTGAGTTGAAGATCCAATGGTTATTACCACTGGATTTAGAAAGGACATTAAAAGCATTACCTTTGATAGGTTTGCTAAGGAGTTGGTGCAGAGTCTTTAATTGGGCTATGTTCAGTTGGAAATTCATTATCTCATCTGAGGTAGGTAGTTCCTCTGGTATAAGCGAGGATGATGTATTGTGCGCCTTCAATGCGGTTTGATTCTTGTTTACCCATGGATATCCATGAATCTTGTAACACTTGTCCCGTGTATGGCCTGTTCTATTACAGTGAGTACACCATACATGATCTCCTTGCTTGTTCTGCACGAGTCTCCTCTTTCACGAGGCTTAAAGATGGGTGGTCCTTTTTGAGGCAAGTGCAGAGGTCTCTATAGGAAAATTCCCATTATTGAAGACTGGTTTAGCTTCCTTTTGATCGTCGATCATTACACACCGACAGTTTTCTTCACAGCAAACCTCAGCAATGCTTCACCAATTGATGGTAAAAGGGTTCGGCCCAAAATTTTCCCATGTACCTCATCTAAGTCACGATTTAAACCTACTAGGAAATCATAGTCTTTCTTTCTCCAAGTGTGCCTTGAATTTTACATGTTCTTCAACTTCGCTCCAATCAGCTTCATAGAACATATTCAGTTCCTGCCATAAGACTTTCATATAGTTATAGTAGTTAGTTACTTCAAAAGTACCTTGACAAATCTCTTTCAACTTCATCTTGATCTTGAACACTTGGGAGGCATTTCCCAAGTTAGAGTAGTTTTCATTGACTGCATCTCATATTTCTTTTGTAGTTTTAAACGATAGATAAGTACAGCTGATGTTGCTTTCCATAGAATTTATGAGCCATGCCATCACAATTGACTTTTTGAGTTCCCACCTCATATTGCTTATCAGTAGAACTAGGGCAAGGGGGCTACCATTAAGGTATCCCAGTTTGCCTCTTCCTCGGATAACCATTAGGACTGACTGGACCACTGTAGAAAATTCTTCCCATCGAGTTTGTGACTGGTAATCAAGGGAGAGTTATCACTATAGGTTTGGGTCTGTGAATTGGTAGAAGATTTGGGTATGATACTGGACGATGGATTGTGATGCACTCTTCAACAGGAACGAAGGAAAAACAGTGTGGTCTTGTACCGATCTAAAGAGAGAATAAGAATCCGAACTATAGTCAGATGAAAAAGAAACTGGAACAGGACAGTGTTGGAGTACAGAAACACAGCCTGGATCCTCAAGCTTGGGGTTGTTTGTTTACCTCTTAACAGTTCCATTAAGAGGCAATCTCTGAATCGTTAAGAGGTGAATCTTGTTTGGCAAAAAAAAGTCCGCCTCTTAATGGTTCTAAAACCCTCTGAATGATTTTGTATCTTGGGCCTCCCTTAACCATTAAGAGCCCTAATTTCATTGTAAACAATTATAGTTCATTTTGCACTATATCATGAGAGCCTCTTAATCATTCTAACCACTTAATGATTCTGCACAAAACCATTCAGCAACTGCCAAACAGCCCCTTAAGAATTCAATGAGAGAAAAGATGTATATTCCAACTTGAAACACGATGTACATATTTATACACAAGCAAAACTGTAATGGCTCCTATAAATCAGCCTCTAAAATATAATACAAATCTATCTAAAAAATAGATAATCAATAATTATGTAATTGATCCCTAAGAATCAGCACAAAGATTATGTGATATCTCTAGCTTGATTTTCCACAAATATACCAACACAAAGTAATCCCCACAATAAGGACCACTATAGTGTATGCACTGCATTTTCTAAAGCAATTAAAATGGAATGAATAACTGGTTACTGAAGAGTCACATCTGAGAATTATAGTTGTACTGCAACCAATTATACCTGTAACAGCGGTTGGCTTGCTGTTTACACCACTATCAACCTGCAAAGAAGCTGTTTTCTCCAAAACATCTGTTATGCTCAAGGTGTCAGATGGAACGAGAGCAGCTAAATCCGGAGGTTGATCCTTCCCCACTGGTGGATTAGCCTAGAGAAACAACTATTCAAAAATAGGAAGGGAGAAAAAAGGACTACATTCATAAGCTAATAATCTCTTTTCTTACCTCCAAATCAACATAAGCAACGACTCTTCCTACTGACTTGAGAAACATGTCAAGATCCTGTATGTGAAGAGCTGGAACCAGAAACATCGACAAAGAACAATTAAGATGGCTGAAGTTCAAGGACAGTCAATGTCTGTATATCAAAGGATCTAAAAAATCTGCACTTTGTATTGTATAAGCATCAATGTTCTCAATGAACTTGACCTTAGGCAGCCTATTTTCTCAACAGTGATTGAGTTAAGGCACACTACCTCATAAATGAAAATATATAACAATAATCCAAAGAATGAAAGAAGTCTTGTTAGAAACATCTACTCAAGCCAATCAACAAGAATAAACAAATAAACAGTAAACTTGCATGTCCATATGTCTCACAAAGCAAAAAGTTGTTGCCTGGACATCACTCGTTGGCTTTCTGACCAGTATTGTGCTTTCTCCAACTTCCACAAGCAAGGAGAACTAATACTATTGCATATTAATGGATACTAGAGATGGACCGTCACTTGGTTCAGGGAAAAAATCATATAACATGTGGATTGTAATTTATAGATTACTAGGAGGACTTATCATGGCTATTGTTATATTTAAAAGTTCCTCACACTCGATGCATTCAAGTCCACACCAACCCTTTTATACTGGAAATTTTTCATCTAATGCGTTCTCTCTCTTTCCTCTTCCCTCTCTTCACAACTCTTTTCTGATCACTACACTATGTTCAAGCTTCACACACACATATCTATATGTATATGCATGAACTACCACTACATCCACAACCCTGTAATTTCTTCTTCCGTTTAAGAAATCTCTCATGCATATAGGGGGACATGGGGGTTCTTTCATGAAGAAATTGGTGAAGTGGGTGTGTGACAGAGAAGGCAAGAAAAAGAATGAGTATCAAGAGTAATTAGAGAGTGATGTAATACAGACACAAGAACAGAACATCGGAGTTTATAGACAATTTGGAAAGCGCTTTTGTCTCGAGCAACTTTTTCAACTTATTAGTTTAACTACCAGAACTTCCTAGTTGGTGGTTGAACAAGTGAGTATATGTTTTACCAAAAAATCTAAATCACTTATTCTGGTAAAAATAGCTTCTACTGGTAGTAGTTTCACTGAAGGGGGTGACTTTTCAGAAAAAAATAAAAAATAGAGCCACCAATATAAAAATGCTTTTACCAAAGGGTCTTTGGCCTAGCGGTATCGTAATCCTTGGCCTCCTAGGAGGTAAGGGGTTCAAACCTCACCAAAGGTGAGGAGGGTGGGTGAGTTTATTTGTTGCATTTGCCGTATATAAATATTATATACTTCAAATATATATATATATATGAAATGTTTTCAAATTGGAATTGTTTCCATAAGAAGCCATTATTTTCGAATTTACATGCCCAAATTAATACCATCTGATTTATTGTATATGGCACAAATGTGATTCAAGATTTTGTGATATCTTCCTAAAATCTTTGAGTTGAGACCCAACAACGTCATTCTACTGCAGATATTGGCTTAAATCCTGCTAAATTTGGTTCTTTAACCTTAATGACCCAGCTTCTCTTCTAGTTGTTGGTTGTAGTTGGGGATGTATCTTCTTCACGCCACTCTATGTACTTAGTTCCTTTTAATTCCGTATTAGTTGGCCTATCAATCTCTGCCCATTATTTACCAATTTAATTCCAAATGACTCATTTATTTCCTTCTAGTCAACCACACATTATAATGGAATATGATAACCCATTCTAGTACCTTTGTCATTCCATTTCATCCAACCACAGACCCAACATTTACTCAACACCAACAAAACACTAGAATCTTTTGAAACTAGGTTCCTAGGGCTTCACACCGAAGAAACATTAGGATCTTTTGAGCATAAGACCCAAAATCATCAAAGGCATCTCACATGAAAAGATTGTTTGACATAATCAAAGAAATCTCTCAGATACTTTTATTCAACCTGTTTAATAATAATTCTTGAGGGTTACGTTCTATATATAATAAGCCTAACAATAAAGTCATATGTTTATCCAAATTTATCTTTAAAAACCATAATAAATTATATGACATTGATCCTAACAATTATCCTGATATACATTTTCACATAATTTCTTCTTTCTTTGCTATTATGATCTTAATGATTGTGCCAACCTGATTAGACCTTCTTGCATGGAAATGAATCAAAATTGTTCTCCTTTGACCTGCAGATATTCTACATGGGTATTTTTTATGCCCGTAGAGCACAAAAATGAAAAATGGTTTGAAGGTTCATAGAAACCCACTATGTAAGTATTGTTGCCTCTTCATTAATCAGAAAGCCTCTTCACTTCTCCCAGATTTACACCTAGATGCACCCCTATCATTAATGGACTCACTTGCCGGCTACTCAATTAGTCTAGGTAAATCTTTCCAAGTGCCCTTAGCTTTTCTATGCTATTTTTTCCAATAAAAAATGGGTTGAATTTTGAAGTTTCTAAAGGACCTGCATCAACTATTTTCATGTTTTTGGGATATCTTTTCCAAGTGGCTTATCATACTATAGAGGAATTCAGAACAAATCTACCTACGCTCAAGATTCTAATCTATTTCAAAGCTTAGAAATAGTTGAACCCCAATGAATCATGAACTATTTGAAGACTGAAATCTATTAGTGAATTCCCCACTCCTTATCCAAAGAAAGTTGAATTCACTGGGTAGTTAACAGGAAGTAGTGTCAAAGATATAATGCATACTAACAACGGACGTTAAACATAAGCGGATGTAAAGCATGCATAGAATCCTTAACACTTACAGATTGACGTATCATTGGAGAGTGGGTGGAAGAAGCAACACTCCTGCGTTTTGAAACCCTGATCTAACAACAACGAAACATGCCTTCACAAACAAAGAGAACTTTTATGAGCATCCAGTAATGACATAAAAAATGGATAAGAGCATATATATATGTTCCTATTAACAGAGTAAAAGAAAGCAATGAACATACTGAGCTGATTCATTCAGAAGTGCAAATGGAGTAACACAACCTAACGGCACCTGGAAAAATATTATAGCAGCAATAGCTAATGAGTGAAAACTATCAAGATAGAACTATGGTAAGTAATTAATCTATGCAAAACAAGTGGCCAGTCTTACAAAATGCAGATAACGTGACATAACAAAGACCATCTAAAGGAATATAATGCCAGAATCATCTATAATGAGAAAGAAAAAAAAATCTAAAATGCATATAGGGACCTGAAGTATTTCTGCAAGTGCTTCTTCAGGTGCCATTCTGAGCCCTCCTTTTCCAAGGCCAAGCCTTTGAGATAAAACTGCTCAGCTTCGAAGCCAAAATGAGTGTTATAAACATCCAGAATAATATAAAGATATGGCCATTCTGAGGCTATGTTGACGAAATCATATCTAAGACAGCCTATTACCAATATTTAAGAAAATAAATTATCACTAAATTAGTGTTTACAACTAGAAAACCGCTTTTGTCAGATACCATCCAGCAAACTAGCATGGCACTAAAAGCTGCAATGATATCTATTCAATATGAATCCATTAGTTGCAAAGTGTCTTTCAAAAATGTCAAATCTAAAGTCACCTGGTTGCCTCTGTGGCATCACTACAAAGAACTTGTGCCATTTATTTTGTTTCACAAGATTTTTACTTGATCAGAAATCCAAAAATTATTCTGTATAACCCCCGGCCATATTGTCATGAGGGTCGGTATTTTAGACTTTTGACTAGCGGTCAAACACTTATATTAGTATGTGTACGTGTACACTTCTTATGGGTCGAAGGAAGTAAGAAAATAGGATGTCCCCAAAAAGAGGATAAGAAAGCAAGCTAATGCGGTCAGACACCGGAGAACAAACTAACCTTTTAAATCTACTTTGGTATCAGCCAAGGCCGAAACAATGTAAAATCTGTGCTTCTTATCCTGAATGTCAAAAAAATAAAAAATAGATTAATGCATTTGATTGAAAATGGAGGTACCATAATGGCATTCCAAATTATTTGAAATTGATACCTTTAGGAACAAGTTCTTAGTCAATCCACCTTTGATATGTCCAACATACTTTGCCTTATAAGAGAACGAGGGGGAGAGAGAGAAGAGATCAGACTATATACAAAATGAAGGAAATAACACCCCTTGTATTGCATTTTGTTACCTGAGCTTCGACGGTCATAACTATAGGATGCTCATACTTTGAAAATTGCACCTGTTGAGCCTAATGGATATAATGAATATGTTAGCTCTAAGAAGATATGTCACAAGGAAATGATAAGATCCACAAGGATGCATACTAAAACTAGTTGCAATGTTAAATATTAAAAACAACCTAAGCATTGTTCTAAGAAGGGCCACGTGGAGCTAGGCAGTTGAATAGCCTTCACGCACAATGAGTTCAATTGAATATATATAAAACATAATTATCTTTCAATTATATAAAAATATGAAAACAGAAATTTTAAAATACTAGTCGTATTAAAGATACCAGAGACAACAAGAAAAAAGAAAACAATTTCATCTTTCATCGATATAATTACCTGGGGAGGGTGGGCAAGATTCCCACCAAGTGCAAAACAATGATTAATTGACACCATTGGAGAAAAGCCCATCAACCCCTACTTAAGTTTTTGAGTTCTTAGCTCCATAATCAATTGTCAAATTGAATTGGTGGTGACACTTTTCTCCTCATGTGGCAATTACATGGCCCTAACTAATCGAACAGGTGGGAGGCTTTTAATGCCTAGGCAGCCCTAAGCAATAAATTTCCAAATACTGATCGACTATGTTGTTAATGGTGGCGCTATAGTGGTGGTATCACTGTTCACGATCATCGACGGACTAGCGGTGGCAAAATAGCGGGGGAAATCACATTGCCGCTAATGGTAGCACTATATACCGCTATTTTGACCTCTATGTACCTCTTTTTGTCCTACACTCTAACTCTCTCCACGATTCTACTATTTCTTGGTTTTTCTTTTCTAGCCCCCCTTCTCCACAGAGTCGTGAGTAGTCGTTCTTCCTTTTTTATAATTCTTAGTGCCTTGGTGGGTTCATCATTGATCCTTCTATTTATAGGTTCTATTCAAATTTCTTTTTGATTGTATTTTGCAAAAGAAATTATGGGGTTTTGATTCAATTGTGCTTATAGACAGTCTATTGTTGACTCAGTTAAGACTTTCGTGTTGTTTTAGTTGTTAGTAGGTTCATCTCTTTCATATCATTTTAGTTGTTTTTGTGTTTAGCCGTCCATTGTTAATTTATAAACCACCCAAACATCTTTTATCAACCAACGCCTTGTTTTAAGTTGTTGAAACTACATATTTTTATTCAATACATGTAATATCTTAAGTTATACATACATAAATATATATAATTCTAATTATTATATACACCACCTTACCATCGTGATAGCAGCTATATCAAATCATGGTCCTGACACTATTTCATGTAACAGCATGGCTGATTGAAAGCTAAGCTTTCTTCCAAGATACTATCACCTGGGAAATAGTCTCACCTTCCATATTAATCCGCAATCCCTACATCCATATGAAAATTGGATATAGGCTTTGTGACTAGCTCACGACCAACAATTTTGAATTTCAGCTGCAAGTAAGCAGCAAGCTTGCACGAATTACACTGCTACTTGTAGGCTAAACTCTCATTCACAAGACAGAATCAAACACAGACACACATATCCTACACTGCTCACTTGCAGCTGAAATTCACTATTGTTTTCTCATGGGATTGCTACCTAAATCTTTTCTCATGAAGCATAATGTAATCATACGAGTGTGGAGCCAAAACCCTAATTTGTTCGGCTTCAGTATAATTTATGGCAGATTAATAATGATGGTTGCTTTTTCATTGCTACAACAAGTTTGTGGTACTCTGACACCAAAATTGTTGAAAGCTCAATCAATTAATGATAAAATTGAACGGTGGCTTTAATGAATCGACAACATTGTGCATTTTGTCATAAACATCGGCTAAAGAATCGAACCTGTAAGCGTTCAAGAAGTTGATCTTTTGAAAACCCCATCTCTCCGATTGGGTGGAAGCCGCAATGCCAAGGGCGAAGACTGAAATGAATTGCAAACTGTCAAACTAAGCTTGGCTTTGACCCAACTCGTAATACAAACTGAAAATGTAGGTTTTATAAACGCTAGAGTTAATCATTTCCTTAAGTATTTTGGCGCATGTATGATTACCAATTAAATTATTTAATTATCATTGAAATACAATAGATCTAGGTTAGCCATGGCAAATCTCGCCTGACCTCGGTTCCACTATCTCATCCGTGTGACTCGGGGATCGAATTTTTTTCGCCTTTTGTTGGGCCTATCCCTCATTTAATAATAAATGGTTCAAAAAGTATCAAAAATTGGTTGAAAAATATAATATATTATATAACACATACTTAAAAATATATATAATTTTAATTAATATATATACATACGGGGACAGGATGGGTTGGGAAATACATTATCCGGCCCGGTTTGCAACATGTCAGGGATCCTTCGTCCGATACATGTTTTACGGGAAACCGCCATGCCTAATTTAGGTGGATCCGGGTTCGATCCAATCGTTCATTGGATGTTTGATTTTGTTATATGAATTCAATCCAACTAATATTGGACATCTATTCTGATCGAATCCAATGGATTATTGGACCAAATCAGTTTCATCCATTTGGAGTGTTTGTGGTTTGTATTTTGCGGTTCTAAGTTTTCAAATTGTGGTTTAAACCGCACCACAGCACATATTTTTAATTCTATATATAACCTATATATATATATATATATATAATGCTATGTAATATTTTTAATCTATTTTCTCCATAATTCATTAAGAAGTCTAAAGTTTTGGACTTTGATCCATAACATTAATAAAGTTCTGTCATGTTCTATCTTGTCTAGGTAACACATGCACCTTATGCAAACATCTACAATTAGCTCATGAATCTAAAGGGCTGTTTGGATCATAGAATTTGGTGGAATTTGAAGAAATTGGAATGACCAAATCTTTGACCACATTCCAAATGTCATGTTTGGTTCACAGAATACAAGTGAAAAAATCCTATCAATTCCTACAAATTCCTTCGTCACCATATTCATTCCAGCAGATATACCACGAATTTCATATTCCTTTCTGACGAATTCCTTAGCCCTCATCCAAATTCGTCATTGCTATATCTCTATTTGCTCTGCTATGCTCGATCTCGTTCAAAACTGCTCGATCTAGTATGTTCTTTCTCTCTCTCTCTCTCTCTCTCTCTCTCTTTCTTTCTTTCTCCATCTCGCTCTGTCTCTCTCGTTCTTTCTCTATCTTTGGTTTGATTATGCTATTTTTCCCCTTATCATGTTCTTGTTATAGAGCTTGTTATTCTAACATTGTGTTCTTGTTATTCTATTTTTCCCCTTGTTCATGTTCTTGTACTTCAACTATCAATAGTATTCATAGTTCATCTGTTGATATTTTGCACACTTCTGTTTAAAATTGGAACAAAGCAGGGGTACATTTTGTTGTTGCCATGGTGCAATAATAATCACAAACTTCAACCATGTATACTTCCAACTATACAAAACACAGTATACATGGTTCATCTGTTGATATTTTGCACACTTCTGTTTAGAATTGGAAGAAAGCAGGGGTACATTCAACCATACATTTTGTTGTTGCCATGGTGCAATAATAATCACAAAATTTGCACATATATTGTAGAGGAGGGTGTATAATTTTTTCTAGAGTTACAATAGGGTGTATTATATTACTAAATTGCAGTACTCAGAAGAACCCCTGGCGGTGTAGCTAATTGATCACAACACCCCTCCAAATGGTTCATTGTAGGCAAAATATATATGTAGATTAATGCAAGTCTTTGTCCATTAAGGAATTGAATGCTGAATGGTTGGACCACCACTTTGTGAAACTAACCAGCAATAACTTGTAAGAAAAAGTTATATATGATTCAAAGGGCCACCATTTCCATTTGGGATATTGTCCAGAAGTTAGTGAACACAAACAGTATCATTGGTCTCAGAGTATAGTAGCACCTTTTCTATTTAGCTAAACAGTTTGGTGTCAGATATTTTAGACAAGGAAAGGGGTATATATGCAGGAGCTCAATGATATCCAAAAACCAATTGGTGCCACATGTATGTATGGCCATGGCAGAAGAGTAAACTTGATGAAAGGTAACATACGTTTGAAAAGTGATGTATACTTCAACAAGAAGTCCTATTAATGTGTCGCACCATAATCAACAAAAAGAAATTATAAAAATTGTTGCAGAATTTGAACCTGAGCTGTTGCAACAATCCTGGGATAGGAGATGAAGCTGTGAGGTGTTCATTATTACAAGTTTCGGTATCCTACTAGGGTTTTTTTAGGCCCAAGTTAATCCATAAGAACCTACAAGAAATCCTTACAATACAAGGCAATAAACCTTAGATTTGTGGATTTCATATATATTAATAGACTGAGAAGGAGTCTAATTATTTCATTGTATAAACACTCACATTTCAACCAACAAGATAAGGAAACTATTATTCATCCAAGTAACTGTAGAAAATAGATCACTTGACCCAAACATCATGACTACAATCAGATAGACCCTCATATACAGCATTGGTTGGTTGCTTTGATGATGATATGAACGGTTTATAAAATGATAAGACCATTGTCCCCTTCTTTTACACCTAATGTTACTGGGGAAGTAAGCAAGCACATACATATGCATCATTTTTTTGAGTTGTTAGAAGAAAGTAATTTTAATTAGAAATTTGAAAAGATATGGCATATAAGAAGGTATAATTTTTGGTGCATAATGTGTAATTGGATTAAGAGCTTATTTGATTAAATTTTTTAAAACTGTCACATTTTCTAAAACATGAACGAAGATATCTTGACTTTTTCATAAATAACAAGTTGATATCTTAGTAAAAGATTTATGTGATTCCATATTACAATGACTATAATATAAAATAGGAACAATTCGGGGTGAAGTACTTGGGGTTTATGGGATAGAATTCCACATAAAAAACAATCAACAATTAATGCTTGGGGTCTATATATGTTGGCACTAGTCTGATATCTCCCATACTGGTGGTCTATGGGATAGACTCCAAGAGATATATTTGCAAATAGTTGATGTGATAAAAAGATGTAAATTTTTTGAAGTCAAACAATTAGTAGGAGCTAGAAAAAACATTCATATTCAAGAGAATCACCAAAAATAGCATGTCAAGTTAGTCACAACCTGAACCACCAGCGAGAAAGGAGATTTGACCTCTAGTACGTCGAGCAATTTATCCACTTGTTCATGGTACTCTTTCTCTGTCAATAATAATTTGGTTAGATTACTCTAAGGAACTGAACTTCATATAACTTGGAAAAGAAAATAGTATTAATTTATGTTCACAGTCATATTCCTCTAAGGATATCACACACCAGTGTAGTCAAAACCATATCCTGGCTGTGGCTTGTCACTGAAACCAAATCCTATCCAATCAGGTGCAAGAGTCAGAATCAACACATATAATCAGACCAAGTACCTAACATATCCCACCTTATACCACCAAAGACATCATAAGAATACCAAGGTTTATCCTGTCACTATCCTATAAACTCAGAACTAAAGAACCAATAAAAAAACCCTCTTGTTATTGTGCACAAAGCTTAATGACATATCACTCCATATAATGTCAAGACAAGGTCTTCAAATGTTATTCTAACACAAAAAGGAATATATATATTTTTAGTCAGCGATGCATAACACTTCCCTTCAGAATCACATTTCCATTACTTGTTACTACATAACATTTTTCTTTGGCAACCATTAGCTACCTGTTTACTCATACTCTTACACAAAAGTCCATCTGAAATGCCAAAGAAAAGTTCAAACAATTGGAAATAAAACCATTTGTATGTCTTTGAACAGGAAATGACCCGACTTAGTTTCACAACACGCTGACGTAGGCTTATGAGATTGTTTTTGCATGAAACTATGACCATTATTGCTTGGTTTTTCATTATGATTTGCACTTTAATAGCCGACTACAAAAGGGATAAACCACGTATTCGATACTCTTTGTCAAATATGGATCGAGCTTCATTATTGCATAGGTATGCTTATGAGTGTGAAAATATGTGCATATCACAACTTAGGATGAACAGAAGGTGTTTCCAAAAGTTATGTGATATGTTGGAAATATTAGGAGGATTACGAGCAAGTAGGCATATGGGTATTGATGAACAAGTTGCCATTTTTCTTCATATTATGGCTCATAATGTTAAAATTTGAGTCATCCCATGTTGTTTTCATCATTCGCGAGAAACAATCAGTAGACTGTTTACTCGAGTTTGCAATGTGGTGATAAGATTGCATTCATATTTGTTTAAAAAACACGAACCCGTTTAAGAGGATTCTACCGATGGAAGATGGAAGTGGTTCAAGGTATATGGAATATCTATTTTTTTGGTATTCACATGTAAGTAACTTAAAGTGTGTAATGACCATTGTTATTTTCTTGGTTTTAGAGTTGTCTAGGAGCTTTAGATGGAACACACATAAGGTATTTAGTGCCACTCGAAGACAAGGCTCGATACAGAACGAGAAATAATGAAACTGCCACAAATGTGTTAGGGGTCTGTTCATAAGATATACAATTTTTTATGTGTTACCCGGATGGGAGGGGTCAGCAGGCGATAGTAGAGTGCTTCGAGACGCTCTTCTAGGCCACATGGGTTAAAGGTACCGTGGCCATATTATTATCAGGTAGATGTCGGATACACAAATGACAAATGGTGAGGCTTTCCTCGCCCCATATAGAGGTCAAAGATATCACTTCAATGATTGACGGGATTGATACCAACCAACCACGCAAAAAGAACTTTTTAACATGAGACATTCCTCTGCAAGAAATGTCATAGAAAGATGTTTTGGCATTTTGAAGGCAAGAAGGGGAATTCTAAAAGATAACTCGTACTACCACGCTAAACTAAAAAACAAAATCATAATGGCATATTGTCTACTTCATAATCATATCAGGCAAGAAATGCCAAATGATCTGTTTGAGAATGATGGGTTAGACGAAACAACCGAAGATGATGGAGACCAAGAAGTGGTAATGTCCGTTATGTTGGGACATC